CTTCTCTTCAACACAGTATTGGGAGTTCTAGTTGGAGCAGGTAGGCAAGAGAAAGAAATAAAGGGCACCCAGGCTGGAAAGGAAGAAAGACATTTTGTGTGTGTGTGTGTGTGTGTGTGTGTGTGTGTGTGTGTGTGTATGTATTTGGTTTGTTGGTTTTGTTTTTGTTTTTGTTTTGAGACAGGTTCTTGCCTTATCACTCAGGCTGGAGTGCAGTGGCGCAGTCTTGGCTCACTGCAGCTTCGACCTCCCAGAATCAAGCAGTCCCCCCACCTCAGCCTCCCGTGTAGCTGGGACTGCAGGTTCATGCCACCATGTGTGGCTAATTTTTGTATTTTTTTTGTAGAGATGAGGTTTCACCATCTTTCCCAGGCTAGTCTCTAACTCCTGAGCTCAAGCGATCCACTCACCTTGGCCTCCCAAAGCTCTGGGATCACAGGCATGAGTGACTGCACCCACTGGAAGGAATTAATCTTTCTCTTTACAGTTGAGATGATCTCATATGTAGAAAACCCTAAAGATCCCACCAAAAAAAAAAAAAAAGAACGCTTGGAACTAAGAAATAAATTCAGCACAGTAGCAGGATACAAAGTGAACACACTAAAATCAATTGCATTTTTATACACTAGCAATGAACAATCCCAAAAGAAAGTGAAGGAAGCAATTTCATTTATAATAGAATCAAAAAGAATAAAATACTTAGGAATAAACTAAGGAGGAGAAAGACTTGTATACTGAAAACTAAAATATTGCTGAAAGAAATCAAAGAAGGTACAAATAAATAGAAAAACATTCTATCTTAATTAATGGATTAGAAAACTTAATCTGTTAAGATGTTACTACTACCTAAAGCAATCCCAGACTTAATGCCATCCCTATAGTCATGAATCCAGTAAGCAGTCATCATCCAGGATATATAGAGAACTCCTGAAATTCAACAACAGAACAACCAAAGAGCCCTATTCAAAAATGTGAAAAGAACTTGAATAGACATTTCTCCAGGGAAGATACACAAATGGCTAGTAAGCATGTGAAAAGATACTGACCATCACTAACCATCAGGAAAGTGCAAATCTAGACCGTAATGAAATACCACCTAACACCTATTAGAAAGGCTACTATCAAAAGAAACCCAGAGAATAACAGGTGTTGGTGAGATGTGGAGAAATTGGAACCTTTGTGTGCTGTTGGTAGAAATGTGAAATGGTATAGCTGCTGTGGAAACAGTTCCTCAAAACCTTAAACGTAAAATTACCATGTGATCCAGAAATCCCACTTCTGCGTGCATACCTGAAAGAATTGAAAGCCAGGACTTGAGCAGATATTTGCACACCCACATTCTTAGCAGCATTTTTTACAATAGCTACAAGGTGGAAGCAGCCCAAGTCTGTGTGGGCTGATGAATGGATAAGCAGAATGTGGCCTATATGCCTGTATGCCTTAAAAACGTGGGACTCCTGCTCCGGCTGCCACATGCTGGACCTTGAGGACTTTATGCTGAAGGAAACAAGCCAGATGCAAAGGGACAGCGTCTGCGTAATTCCACTTGTGTGAGGTGCCCGGGGGAGTCAGACTCATAGACACAGAAGCAGAATGGTGGTTGCCAGGGCCTGGGGGAAGAAGGAATGGGGAGTCAGTGTTTAATGGGGGAAGGGTGTTCATTCTGCAAGTTGAAAAATGTTCTGGAGATGGCTGGTGGTGGTGGTTGCATGTTATGGACGTGTTTAGTACCACCGAGTTGTACACTTAAAAATGATTATAAGGGTAGGTTTTTTGGGTATTAATTTATTATTTATTTTGAGACGGAGTCTCTGTCACCCAGGTTGGAGTGCAATGGTGCGATCTTAGCTCACTGCAACCTCCGCCTCCTGGATTCAAGCAATTCTCCTGCCTCAGCCTCCTGAGTAGCTGGGATTATAGGCACATGCCACCGTGCCTGACTAATTTTTA